TAACAAGAAGTTTAAGGCTCAAGCCCTGCCTTCAAGGGATTTGTGATCTAGTTGGAAACAAGGTATATCTAGTTTATGAAAGATTTCATAACCCAAATGGTAAGTAACCTAAAATCAATAAAAGAGGCAACTCGCAACACTACCTGATCGATCAGCTAAGTAACTTTTGCTCAGTACAGACAGCAAGTTGTCCCAGGATCAGTTACGGAAGAATCTTACCTCTGTCACTGATAACACCATCCCTTTCATATGTCAAGTTCAGTTACATACATGCATCTGTTTCCAGGCTCCCTATTCTGCTTCAGTGCTTTATCTGTCTAGATTGGCTAGTACCACGTTTTTAATTAATAGGAGATGTAATTTCTCTAAGTCCTGTTGAGGTTTGCGTATCCGTCTTCCCCCGACATGTGGAACTATTTGAGAGGAGAGGTACAAGAAACAGACTAATAGAAATCAAAATGTCAGTTTTATTACTGATAAAGCCACTTGGAAAATGCAGCTTTAGATCTATAATAAAAAGGGCTTACAAAGACATCATTCAAAATTAAACTTCCTCTTGCAATCATAATGTGAACTGGAGAACCCCAGGCTCTCCCCACAGAGGCGACCCTGAGCTCTGCTACAGAGAGCCGTCAGGTGACTCCTGCAGGAACCCAGATGGGGTTAAGCCAAGAATACGCAGATTTTATTTTTCCCTCTAAATTCGCCTATCAGAAAAGACTCTCCTCCTCTAAGAACCAGTGAGTGGGAGGATGGAGAGAGGCCAGGAGTGTTACTCCTAAATCACGTTCCTTCATAGCAAAGGAGGATGAAGATTTTCCCAGCTTTCTCAGTATCTGGTAGGGTGAGACGCTTACTTACGGTTCTTCTTCAAAACTCTTTTGGCTTTTCTTAACTCATGAATTGTATTTGATTTGACCACTTTATGATACTGAATCTTCCAAACTATGAACTTTTATCTTTTTATATGTTTTCTTCTGTTTGTTAAACATACTTCAGTGAAGTTTTAAAATTTTCTTCGTAAAGATCTCACATCTTTGGTTAGATACTTAATCCTAGGTAGCTTCTCATTCTGGTTACTGTTATAAGTGTTTTATTACAACATCCAACTTGTTTGTGGCTCTACAGGAACACCACTGATTTTTGTATTTTGAGAATATATCCAGCAACCTTGCCAGCATTAATTATAATGGTTAATCTTAGATTCTCTTGGACTTTATGTGTATGCGGTCATATTTTTTTAGTGAATGATGGTGTTGTTTCTTCCTATTTTTACAACTTTTATTACTTTTTCTTGTCTTGTTGTTTTATTATGGAAGAAGAGCAGCAATAGTGGATTTCCTTGTCTTATTTCTGACTTTAAAAAGAAGGCTTCTTTTCACCATTAAATGTTATATTTATTGCAGGTTTGGGTAGATATTCTTTATTAGCAAAAGGAAGTTTCTTCTTATTCCCAGCTCACTAAGAGTTTTTTTTTTTAAATCATGAATGTATTTTGAGTTTTATAAAATACTTATTATGAATCTATTGAGATAATACTATATTCTTCTTTACTGTGTTAATAGCTATTAATACATTGTCTGATGTTAAACCATCTTTGCCTCCTGGGATATACTCTACCTGGTCGTGATGTATTATTTTTTCATATATTGTTGGATTCAATTTGCTAATATTTTTAGAATATCTACCTTTATGAACTGAGTTGAGGCTAGCCTATAATTTTTCTTTCTCATATATTAATCCTTGTCTGGTTTTGGTAACAAGGTTATAACAGCTTCATGAAATATATTGAGGCTCTTTCCCTTCTTTTCTATTCTCTGGAACAGTTTATGGAAGATAAAAATGATCTATATCTGCATCTTGAAGGTCTGAAAAGCCTAGTGTTTTTCATTTGTTAAGGAGGGAAGTATAGCTTTTTAACACCTGATTAAATTTTTATGGTGATTATAAGTCTATTTATGTCCTCTTTTTCCAGTTTCTCATTAACTCACCCCAATCTGATTTCCAGTTCTATCAGTATACTGAAATGCCTCTTATCTGGGTAGGTACCAACCAAGCTCTGTGTTGCCAAACCCAAAGGTCACTTTTCCTTCCTTATCCCTGTCTGTAGTTAGTGGCCTTTGGCCTCGCTGGCCATTCCTACCTTCTTCAGACATTCTCTTTTCTCGGCTTCCACGGTACTACCCTCGCCTGGTCTTCCTCCTTTTAGCTGCTCTTTTTCTGTTTTTCATGTCCCCACTCCTTTACTTGATCATTAAATACGGAGTTCATGGTCCCATCTGAAGTCGTCCTCTTTCTATCTCTCTGCCTTTTTCCCACGTGACCTCATTCACTGCCCCTGTTTTGAAAACCATATATGTGCTTATGACTCCTCAGGTTAGACTTTCAGCGTAGACCTCTCCCGTGAGCTCTGTACGGCCAGAGACCTACTTGACAGCTCCCCTTGGAGTCGCACAGGCACCTCGGCCTCAGCGTATCTAAAACCGTCCTTCTGCCAGGCTGTTTCAGCTCAGCGCGTGACACCCCATCTCCAGTCACTCAACCAGGGGATCATCCTTGATTTCCTTCTTTCCTTCACTCCGACCAGATCCAGCCTAGTTCATCAGCAAACTGTGTCATCTCTACCTGCAGAGAACATATCAGATCTGGTCGCTTCCCACCGTCTGTACTGCTCCCACCCCAGTCCCGCCACCGCCTTCTCTTAACCCAGACACTGCACCAGACCAGTTTGTCTTCTTGATTTCACCTTGTCCCACCTATGTTCATTCTCCGCAGTAGCCAGAGTGATCTTTTAAAATTTTAGCTGTATCTTAATCACTCCCTGGCTTCAGTGGCTAGAATAAAATCGAAGCTCTTTTCTGTGGTCTGCCTAGCCCCCGCCACTCCCCCGCCCTCATGTATGGTCGGTATCCTGGCCTTCTGTTTAGCGTGAACATGTTCTTCCCTGAGTCATCACACTCACTGTCCCTCTGTCTAGAATGTGCTCTCCCTCTTCCTTCTCTCCTACCACCCTCCTCCCCACCCCATCATATAGAGGGAACAGTTTTAGAAAAGGCACAGTGGCTTTACTGACAGAAGAGACCACCTTGGCTAGAATGAAGATTCATTTCAGGAACAGAGAGAATCTGGGTTTTGTGGTACTTAGAGCTTGTACAATTTGGGAACCCTTTTAAAGAAAAAGAATACAAAACCGCAAATACAAAATAGGGTGGGGGTAGTAAATATTTAAAATAAGAAACAAAATCACAGCAAATTACTGGAACTTTAGAGATTAGATCCCTTTCTTCTGAGACCCCTTTAGACAATTTACCCAAAATGCCTGCATAGAGATGCTTCCTCATTGCAGCCTGACTGTCCTTCCCCTCCTAAACACTGTCATTTCCAACAACTCTCATTTCTAAGGTACAGATAAATTAAAT